CGAAGGATATTTACATTCTTTTCGCATTTTTGGGCAATGAACGTTAAATGAGGAATACCTGTCATCTTAGAATCCAGAAAAACACCTAGAAATTTAACATTATCACATGTCGGAATTATTTGATTTTGTACTGAGATTGAAATATTGGGACAAAATCTTTTTCTAGAGAATATTACTACTCTACTCTTTGTAGGTGATAAGGAGAGACCGTTATTAGTAAGCCAATTATTTAAGTAGAACAATGCAGAGTTAAGACGATAACTCAATTCTGTAAAGTTCTTAGAAGAGTAATAAAGAGTTAGATCGTCAGCATATTGTAAGACTTTACAAAAGGAGTTAACAGAATGTTCGAGATTATGGGTGTATATGTTAAATAAAATAGGACTTAAAACAGAACCTTGTGGGAGGCCTCGCCATATCTGTCTAGGAGGGAGCAGTTTTCCTTGAACTCTTATACATATTGACCTAACTGAAAGTAAATTAAAAATAATGCGAGTAATTCTATGGGGAATATCCAAAAGAAACATCTTTTCTTTGAGTAAAGGGAGGACAACGTTATCATAGGCTGATGATACATCTAGAAAAACAGCACCAACCGATTCTTCTCTGGAAAAAGCCGAACGTATATCAGAGGTAAAAACAGACAAGCTATCAAGCGTGCTCAGTCCCTTTCGAAATCCAAACTGTGTTTTGGCCAAGAGACCTTTATTTTCAACAAACCATTCTAGACGGTTTTTAATTAAATGCTCCATTATTTTGCACAAAGTTGATGATAGTGCTATAGGGCGGTAACTATTACCATCACTAGGATTTTTGTCTGGTTTTAAGATGGGGATAATAATTTGCATTTTCCAATCATTAGGGACTATTCCCGTAATAAATATGTCATTGATTAAGTCTAGAAAAATTTGCTTAGATTTTGATCCTGCGTTAGAAATAAATGAGTATGGAATTCCGTCTATACCTGGTGACGAATCTTTAAGGTGTTGAACAACCAATTCAAATTCTTCATTGGAGAAAAGTTCATTAAAACGTGAATTATTAATGTTTACTCCAGGTTGGGTTATCAATGGTTCACAATAACATAATTCCTCAAAGGAGGGAACCCAAGGAGGAGCAAGCTTATCGGCAAATAAATTGTACCAAATAGAGGAATCACATTGCGGTGAATAATTATCAACGTTATATGATCCGCGGAATTTCTTTATATTCTTCCATAATATAGAAGCAGGAGAGCGGGGTGAAAGATTTTTACAAAACCTAAGCCAACCCGTCTTTTTTTTTATGTGCTAACAGTTTTAATGTATGGGCAGCTATTTTTTTATAATTTAAAAAGTTTTCATTAGACATATTGGAGGAGTATAGACGTTCAGCTTGTTTTCGTTTTTTAACACTGAGTGTGCATTCCTCATCCCACCATGGGGGAGAACAAATTTTGGTAGGAGGCGAAATTTTTCGTGTGAAACATGAATCTGCGGTGAGTAAAAGATACTTAACAAAGTTTTTGTAGTTTGTCTCTATATCATTAGAGTCACTGTTATAAAATTTAGAGAGTACCGAATCTGATAACGATGAGAATTTAGCCCAGTCCGCTCTTTTTATATTATATTTTAACAGCGGCGAAAAAACTCTGATTGGTATTGAGCAGTTGGCTAATGAAAGTAATATTGGGTAATGATCACTACCATAAGAGTGAGATAAAACTTTCCAGTTAATACGTGATGTAAGATTTGGGGTACATAAAGTTAGATCAACAACACTTTTAGGATTTTGAGATGGATATACTCTCCTTGTTGGTGATCCATCATTTAAAATGCAAATATTAAATTCATCAAACAATTCCATTAAGAGATAGCCAAAAGTATCATTTCTGCATGAGCCCCATGAGACATGGTGAGCATTAAAATCACCTAGTAATATAAAAGGAGGAGTAATAGATGAAATTATTAAGTTTAATTCAGTGATCAGTGATGGATGTGGGTGAGGGATATAGAAAGATAGGTATGTGATATCATTACATTTGCAAGCAACAACGTTTAATTCCTCACTATGTTGAGGAAGTGAAACCTTGATAAATGAATGTAATCTATTAATTAGGATTACAGCACCGGCGTAACCATCTTTCCTGTCTTCGCGAAGGCAGGCAAAACCAGGAATACGGAAGTGAGATTTCGGGTGAAGCCACTCTTCTGATAATGCTACAAGAAACGGGTTGTATTTGTTGATAAGATAGATTAAATCGCCTTTTTTATGCTTAATACTGCGACAGTTCCATTGAAGAATCGTAGCCATGCTTATTTATATTATTTAAGAGCGTCGATAGTTTCTCAAGAGACTGGGTTAAATTTGGAGGTAAACAGTGGTCGTCAAATTTCGAAATGATACACATAAGTGTGGATATTAGTAAGTCTATTAAATTTTCATTTGGAGAAGTATGGTTTTGCTCATTATCTTTAGGGTAAGCATTTCCATTAGGAAGAGAACTTCTTGGGGTTTGGATCATGGATTCATGGGCTGTATGGTCATACCCATGATCGGATGCTGGAGATCGTGGTTTCCTATTTATATAGAAAGTTTTTTTATATGAATTCTTATTACTCGTATTAGGAGATGGATTTAAAGGAGTTTTGCTTGCAATGTCGGAATAGCCTCGTTTGGATGGGCGGACTCTTACAGATGCTTCGTCATAAGAGATATGTTCTTGGGACATAATTACTTTAATAGATTTTTGTCTATTAAATTCTGGACAGGATGAACTAATAGCTGTATGATTACCAGAACAGTGAAGACATGTGACCGAGGTAACTTCACATGATTCTCCATCATGTGGTTGTCCACATTTATAACAACGAGGCTTGGATCGGCATTTAGACTTAACATGACCGAAACGACAGCAGTTATAACATTGTATTGTTGGTAAGATGTATGGTTCTACAGGATATGACGTGAAATAGGCAAAAACATGTGAGGGCAGTAATTTACCAGAGAACGTAATTACAATCGTTTGTGTTGGAATCCACTCAACAGAGTTATCTGCTTTAATAACTTTACGGTTTAGACGACGAGCGCGAATTATTTCTGAGGAAGAGGCAACTTCTGATGCAGAGACGAATTCATCCATACCTATATCGATTGGAACACCTCTAATGATACCCATTCTCGTAATAGCATAGGTAGGAATTACCGCTACAAAATTTGCTTTAGCAAGTAATGGACTTACAATAAAATCGTTAGCTAGTTGGGGGGAAGAAAACTCAATAGAAATACGATTGCGTCCTATTCTCTTATCACCATTTTTTAAAATTCCCTGAATATTGTTTTGGTACAGAAATTGACCCACTTTAATTGGCTTAATTGTAGTTCCGGAGGAGGGCTCCACTGTCGGTTTCATAATGTGAACAATAAAAGGAGCACTGTCATTACTATTATAGCGTTTCTTTTGTTCAGATAAAGGGTGAACAAATACATTCTGTACGGCTGCTGAAGGAAGAGAAGACATCTTTTGCTTCGGTTCTAAATTTAGGGATGATATATTATAGGCTTTGCGTTTCATTGGATTACCAGTATCGGACTGATAAAATGTATCAGTAGGATTAGAATTAATAAACAAGTCGGGTGAAGATCCAGATTTTCCGGCATCATCCGGAGGATCTGAATCCTGTTCAATCTCTTCCATCCTCAGTAGATAAGCTAGCTACGAATAATAATAAACACTTACGTACAATAATTAGATTGAAATTTAGAAAAATATACAAATTCAAACGAAAATAACGTCGTTAATTAAAATTTTCTTGAGAAAATTTATTAAACCCGTGTGACAACCAATCACCATGACAACAGAATCCACACCTATATATAATGTTAAACAGGTGAATACCAAGTGCATTAAACTGGGGAGGGCATGAGCTTGTTGAATCCACTGTTTTTCTCGGAATTACATTTGACGTGAAGCTTCAATGGGGCCTTCATATATTTAAACTAGCTATCAAACTTAGTTCTGCAGCATATGCTGTAAAAAAAGATTAGAAGCTTTACATGTGTTGAAACAACTAGATTAATTTATTTTAATTATTTCCATAGCAATATGTCATATGGAATCTTGCTATGGGGTAATGCGACTGACATTGAAACTATCTTTGTTTTGTAAAAGAGAGCAATAAGAGCAATTTATAACATAAGGTAAGAAAGTAAGGAAAATTTACTTTCTTACCTACCCTGTAAAGAAAATTTTAAAGAAATAAATACATTAACTTTGGCCTCTCAATATATTATTTACGAAAATTTAATGTATATACACAAAAACTAAAATAACTTTATTAAAAATAGTGATGTACATTCTGTAAATACTAAGAACAAGCACAAGTATCAGTAACTCCTTCATGGGCCAATGTATAAGCTTTTACAAGTCTCAGAAAATATGCAGACTTTATCTATCAAAAGGTTTAAAAAATTTATAAAGCAAAAATTGTTTAGTAAGGGTTATTATACTACTGAAGAGTACATGACTGATAGTAACCCCTGGGAATGAGGTGATCGCTACTATGCTGTTTCTAAATGTTTTCATAACAATTTGTAAGTTATGCTTTTAAAAAAAAGTCCCGCTGGGTTTCTTGCTGGTTCTTCCCAGGACAGAGGTTTCTTTCCGAACCAGTGGTTAAAGTTAAAAATGACTTTCAATAAGAATTACATGTTATCTATATTGAATAAAAATGATTACATAAACCATTTTTTTAATCCATAACATATATTTGTTACAAAAAAAATGTTGTTTGGCGCTCACGTCGTTTACATCCGAACGCGTGCTCAGAAGAGCTATTTCATAATTTACGTAGATGAAGTATTTGCATCACTTTCATTTTGACACTCCCTCAATCGGTCAGAGCTTCATCGAAGCCACGCCCCCAAAACTACGATTCATTTTAAGGTATCCTCTCAAATTAAGCGAGTGCCAAGTTCCGAAACTACTATGGATTATAACGTGAGAATTATTTAAATTACAGGTGACCAAAATGAACATCAACGGCCAATGGGAAGGCGAGTTAAATGGCAAAATCGGCCATTTTCCCTTCACATACGTCGAGTTTCTGGATGACAATACGAGCAGTTAAATTGAATATGGTTTATTACAATATTGTATTACTAATATGTGTTTACATTCGACGGAGACGCTTGCAAGACACAAATTGTTTTAATACGTGCATTGAACTGATATACACATTAATAATCTGTGTAAGTTGACATTTGTTTTTATGTGCACACGGATTTGACAATGCTATATTTTTTTAATCTACGTACAAGAGTCGTGTATATTGAATTAGTGACTAAATAATTTTGAATCTGTATACAGGTTATATAATCTGCATTTGTTGAACTGACAAGTTTTGCCCACCGATTATCTGGGCTATGTTATATTTGATAGCTGTAAAATGCTTTTTTTTCTTGATTTTATAAATATGTTATAGTAAAGGTCATTCTGGAATATGCGACGTACATTAAAACGACCATTGACTAGCATACGCAATTTTAGAATTTGTTACCTAGTTCATAAAGACTAAATATGCATATTTTATGCTTTTAAACTGACTATATAATACTGACTAATTTTGATTGTTCACTTAACATATCGTTAAAACTATTTTAAAGGTATTATAGCTTATATTGGCTTGAAAAATTGATCTTAAGAAAATTCGCTGAGATTATTTTCTAAACTCTGTCTTGATTATATTTACGTTGTGTGTCTCGTTAAGCTAATTCTTGTCTCTAAGGGTGCGTACAGATTAAGTAACATGTTGTATAACTTTTGTTTCATAACACGTCCACATTATGTAACAATGTGTTTCAACTTTGCAACATATAACAATACCGTACACATTAGAATAACAATGCAATATAACAATGTTATATGACATTGTCGTTTGTCGTTCTGCCGTTCGAGTTATATAACAACGTTTTGTATGTATGTACATGTTATGTTATATAATGTGTACGCACCGTTATATTTATAAAAAATATATATAAACATATATTAAAAAAATAAATTATTTTTCGGGCTCGAAGGAACAAACAATTTTATATTAAGTGTCGCTAGTGTAATCAAGACTTAGCTTTTTCCAAAAAAGGAATTGAAGTGTTAATACATCGAAAGGTTATTTAACTTTTATAGCTGTTTAACAATTTTATACATTAATCGAAAAGTTGTATATGCATAATAAATTATTTCACTAAATATTTTTAATATCCCACTAATTATACGAGACATAAGAATTTGATTATTTACCTTTTAAACCATTTATATATTTGTACACAAAACATATATTATTATTACAAACTGATACAGATAATCAAAAGACAACACAGTTTTTCTATAATTCACAATTGGTCTTTTGGAATTTAAATATTTTATGCTTAACTTTATATATAAATATCTACTTGGGATTAAATTTATAAATTTGAATAAATCATTTCATGTAAAAAAAAGTTAACTGACTTAATGAATGTTAAAAAGAAACTACTTAAAACCCACTCAAAGAGGTTCTGGTGGAAACTTGACCGCCGATGGATTGCTGCTCCTTTAATATTGTTTAAATCATGGTTTAAATTGGATTTTGATACGTAAAAGTGGTGCGATTTTGTGTATTAAATGTTTGCGCAGCGCATGTGAACTATTAGTGAAAACGATGTAACAAGTGCCTCGATGGTCGTAGTAGAAGTGAAAATCTTACGTTCTTATCCGTTTAGAGGCCTTGAGTTATTATTTGGCTTAAACTGTCCGGTGGGGTAAGCTGTCGTCAAAATCTCCCAAGAACTACTGGATATACGATATAATAATGTAAAGTTATATGGTCTCAATTATACACATAAAACTAGGCTGTATGATATAAGATCTTTGCCTGCCTTAATTGGCGGAATACAAGAAAAATTATTCGGCGAGTCACTTCAATTTTTGCCGTAAATGGGCAATTGCAATGGAGAAGGTTCAAAATTATGTATTATATTTCTTTATATTAAGCTTTTCGGTCAGAAAGGGATTTTTATGTCGCAGGTTATAATTAGTGTTACGTGAATGTTGATCATTTTTAATATCGATACGGTGTTTCACACCAGTAACATGGAATACTAGTCCAGATTGAATAACAACGTAAATGAGTGTTATCAGTGGTGTTGTAAGATAAAAAAGTTGTATGTCTTAAAACTATTTTTTTATGTTGTTGTTTTTCTTTTTTCTATGATTTTCTTTTATAAGATATTTTATTTTACTTTATATTTATAGTTATGTCAAAATATATTTATCTAGATTTAAAAAAATAATTCTGTAACACTAGTTTAAATAAGCTTTTACACTGTCTTATTGTAAGAGAGCTGGTGCAGATGAGTAAAGAAACCGTACCGTACAGAGGCAAAGCTTAATACAACCGCGCTTATTAAATTTTCTAAAAGAAACTGTAAAATATTTATTTGGAAATACTTTTCCAACACTCAACTTGCCAACAAATGACGGTGCTTATTCGAGTTCCATTCAATATGAGAATATATCTGAAATGAATGTACGAATTGCTTGAACAAAAATATCGCGAATATTTTGATCTCGAAAGGAATATTGGAAATATTTATATTGAAATATTAAAACGCGTGCAAGATTGTATATTTGTAATGCCACGTGATTGCTTTTTAATAAATTATTTAAAAACACTACATAAGATTATAATTTACATCTAATTGTTGAAGAACAAAAATTATTAAAAAAGTATTTAGAAAGTTTTTAAAAAAAATTTTCTAAAGTATATAATAAAAGCTGATAAACCGTTATATGTAATTTTATCCTCCTGTGCCAACCTTACCAAAATAGGTAAACATTTTGACAGCTCCTTAGAAGCTTTGCTTTGGTTTCTTTACTCATGTGGCTGGTGACAGAATAAAAAGTTGCGTAAATCAATGTTAATATCATTTTTACTAGTTTTAAAAAATCCGAAATAATGTCTGTATACATAATTATTGTTCTGCCAGATAGTTTATATTTCAGTGTAAAATTAAAAAAAAAAGTGTAGTACTTTTTACTTCTATAATTTTTTCTACACTAAAGATATTTCTTATTATTATGATATAAAAAATAATTATCATCCATTATGTAATTTTAATTTTGTATCAGCAGCATCTTATTGATAGGAACTCAAAATTAATGAAAACAACTGCGGTTGCCAACTCTCGCCTGCCAAGCATGGCAACTATGGCAAAATCCCGCTATAAGGCTATGGGGGAGACCTAAGTTCAGTAGTGGACTTCTATAAGCTGTAATAGAATTAAGTAAATTACATCCTATTAACCTTGTGTCTCCTGCCAACCAAATAATATTGCTTTTCTTTTGTTAATTTTGATAAAAACAATGAAATCATTATTTTGTTAAATTTAATTTAAAGAAATCTGCTCGATATATTTTTGTTTTATTATTTTTCTGCTTTCATAAATAAAAACAAGTTACATGTGTGTATTTATCAACAACTGGAATTATATTCCAAATTGTAATAAAAAAGAAAGATCAAAAAATGAGGTCATAACTGTTTAATAAGATACTTGTACTATCGCAATTTTAAATTTGTATATAACAAGGTACATGGGCATTGTATTTATATCTGCCGAGCTATTCTTATCAAATACACTGAAAAACCATAAAGAAAAAGTAGAACTATTTAATATAATTTTCATTTAACATTTAAATAATAATATGAACACCTGCGTCACAAGAAATACCTTTGGGACGGATTGTTTCTTCCAAAATATGATAGTCAATATTTTTATAATGATTGCTGGTGCGAGAGAACTAAGTATTTGGTTAGTATTATATTGTGTGAAGCTGGTCAAGTTTGGTGACATTTGTTAAAAAACATTTACTCGCACACTTTTCACCCAGAGGGGTAGACAGAGACCTAAAACTTCATTTGGCATGATCCTGACAATCCTCTAAAAATATGCAGATGTAAAACAGTTCGCAATCCTGGATCTCGACTAACATTGCATCTACTCCATGAAGATACCACACTTAATGCCGATCTGGTAAAATATATAATCCTAAACCTTTTCTTAATAATATAGTAGAAAGTATTTGCGAAAAGCAATTATTGCAAGTATTATGTCTAATTTCTCTTCCCTTTTTTTGTGTAAAACTAACAAAATAAACGAAATCGACTCCAAACTTGACCAGAATATATGAAAGTATTGATTAAATATGATAATGCTCCTCAAACAATTGTAAGTGTGGGGGACAGTAATACCAAATGTAATTAAAATTGTATAGATTGTTACGAAAGTATATTTTGAGATTACGGAACATATAATGTATGTATTGTATTTTAAGTGGAGTAAATCGGAAAATTGTCTAATTTTTTTTATTAAGTTATGTGTAACAATTTAGTAATAATAAATTTTAGGATGAAGTAACCAGTGCCTTTTCTTTTCTAATTTCTAAAAAATCATAGTGTATTGAACAGTGAGGGAATGCTGGAGGCATTCTCTCATGACATTCCTAGATGAAGTGACACTGGGGCACAATGAAAAGAGTCCTGAATACTGGTGGATGCCTAAGGTAGTATTTAGTGTCAGGCCATGATTCAGCATTAGATGTATCATGAACTGCAAAACATACCCTTACTTTTACAGCCTATTAAATTCCATTGTTTCCACGCTTGACAACTGCAGTTTCTTTAATTTTAGTTGTTATATTAGGAAGATGCTACTGCCCAACTCCCTGATTTGTTTCCCTCTTTCGCCACTTACGACATCCACAGGATACGGGGTAGTGGATATTCTCACACTGCCACTAGGTGGTATTTTTTGACACGAAACTAAAATTTTGATTTCCATACTTTTTAAATCTATTAATAATTCAGTTGTTAACTTAGTCTTACAACCCTCAGAAACGGAAAAAGGTCTGTGCCCAGCAGTGAGACAATATATTTGCAGAGTTCTATAGCTGGCCGAAAATGTACTGTAGAATTCATGACACTAGATACTGCTAGGGATAATAGTAATAACAATGTTTATTCATTTCATTCATACATTTATAGTACAATAGTGAGACCTTTTAGTAAGTAAATAATTACTTGTCTCGCTCTTCCACAACAATTTCATTTTACTAAATAAACATAAAAATTAGACATGAAATAACAATTCTTAAGATAAATAAGGGAATTAGGAGGAAAAATAATGAGGAAAATTATGGAACCATAGAATTATGCACACATACTGTGAAATTTATAGTTTTATTAGTAGAGGCAATAGTAATTTAAATAGTAGAAATACGAACATAATCACAATACATCTAAACCTGAAAACCAGTTTTAAATAGTGTAATCTTTGCAATTACTAAAACTAATATATTAATAGCCTGTGTATACAATACTATTTATTTGTCTGTAAAATAATAATTAAAAATGATGTTGTAAATTCAAGGTATTTGAGCTTGAACTTGCATGTTGTGCATGTTAATATAAATATACATGAAAAGCCTATTTATAAAAAATACCATAAAGATTATGTAAGTATGACAAAAATATGTCTGTAACAAGAAAATTTCTAGAACATTGTACAAGATAGTACACTAATATTTAATTATATCAATTGCAAACTATGTGATAACATTAAATGATAATGCTGAAATTTATCAACTGAAGTATTTATTATTTACATAGATATGATATCTTCAACTTTGGTATATGTATGATATATATACATACATGTGTGTGAAATATGTAGTATAATAACAATGAATTAATTCCAATCATTATGAACTAATACACTTCTTGTGGCCTTTGCCCATCCCAATTGACAATCCTCTTGTCAGACCACACATATTGACCTCGTACAGAATCAGGGGCGTCCAGTGCAAGGAAAAGTGGTGCAACTGCACCTTCATCAATTGACAGCTTGCCTTTGTGGGATGACATGTCTGTATCCACCCAACCAGGGTGTACAGCATTCACTTTAATGTCTGGAAGTAGGGCAAATATAATTGTAGCTTATTTTTTGTAATCCACAGAGTGACAGATGAGGTAATTTCCATTTTTCTATTACAGCCTATTAAAAGCCCACTGCTGTGCATAGTCCTCCCCCATAGATCTTCTCATACGGAAGATATTTGCCATAGTTACCAAGCTTGGCAGGCGTGTTGGCAACCATAGATTATTTTTTAGTTGTTATTAAGAAGATGCTGCTGCCAATCTCCTGGTTTGTTCCCTTCTGTCGCGTCTTACAATACCCACAGAACATATGGGGTAATGGAAATTCTTACACTTTGCACTACACAGATTTTGCTACACTATTTGTCTCACTTCATCATCATCATTACAGCCCTACACAAGTCCACTGCTGAACATTGGCCTCCTCCAAAGAATGCCACAAAGCACGGTCCTGAGTCACCTACATCCATCGACTTCCCGCATGTCTTATCAGGTCGTCACTCCATCTAATGGTGGGCTGCCCTACACTTTGCCTACCGGTTCGAGACTGCCGCTCGAAAACGTTTTTTCCGTATCGGTTGGTGGTTCTTTGAACTATATGGCCAGCTTATTGCCATTTCAGCTTACTAATCCATTGGACTATGTAGGAAATATTAACAATATATTATTTTAATTATAATATGAAATAATACACATAACCTTAGAAACAAAAACAAACTTCAAATCTGGCAGCCTCGGACGAATCTTATGGCAATAAAAATATGATGTGTGAGGGTGTACTTTTATATAATAATCTACCAGATACTGTAAAAGATTGTAATACTATTAGGCATTTTAAGAATAAGCTAAGATAATATGTTATAGATAAAATTTTATAACTGCATATCTTCAATTTTGAACATATGAGTATTGTATTAATATTCATAATTTTTAAACATTACAATATAATACAAACATAGGTTTGCATTAAGTAAGAAAAAGGGTAACAAATTAATTAAGGATATACAAGAATAAACAAACATATGTTAGATTTTTTTTTTATATAGGATATGGTGACAAACGAGCACACAGTCCACCTGATGGTAAGTGGTTACTGTGACCCATAGACATCTACATCTATCCTCAATAAAGACTCAAGATGCAGATGCGTTGTCACCCGTGAGGACTAAGATGGAATGCCTCTTTGCCAGTAAAAAGGGTCTCCGGTTCTCTACACTCACCATACGAAACACAGCAGCCTTAAGCTGCTATTTTACGCTGGTTTTCTGTGAGAGTGTGGTCCTTCCCCGGTTGAGCCGACCCATTCGTGCTACAACTATATTACTAATATAGCTGCAGCATGGCTCTACCACGTAAAAAGTAAAGTAAAACAAAAGTGTAATCAATTAATTAAGGATATACATATAAGAATAAAAATAAGTGATAGTGTAAATAGTAAATGTGTAAATACTGGTAATATAATTTTGTATGTATACTTAATCTCTGTAAAAGTGAACAATACGTTTTTTAAGAGAAATAAATGTCTTTAACCCAAAAACATATTTTAATGTTTAAAGAAGAAAGCATAAATATTTCAAACACAAATTACCTTTATCATTTAGCAATCTCTGCTGAATCATGGTTAAGGCTGTTAAGCCAACTTTTGATACCACATATGAAGAGTTTCCCCACTCAGCAGCCTGAGTACCTTTTTTGGCATCCTCAATGTACTTATTCATAAGATCCGAAAGCTCAGGAATAGTTAGGTTGGGATCCTTAAAACGATTTCTTAGAGACTCACTAGGTATGTGACTCAAATGACCGCAAGAACTCGAAATATTGACAACCCTAGCACCATTTCTTAGTATCGGAAACAGTATTTCACAGGTTGTAAGTACGGAAAAATAATTAACTCGTAAAGTTTCTGCCGCTTGCACAGCGACTGGTTCGGTCGAGTTAGTTTTAAAAGCAATAGCTGCATTATTTACTAAAATATCAATTCCACCATATTTCTCTTTGATGTAGTCGCGAAAAATTTCCACACTCTTCTTTACGGTTATGTCTAACTGATGATACTTTGGGTTTAAACCTTCTTTGTTGAGCTCGGCCACCGCTTTTTTACCACGTTCTTCATCACGCGACGTTAAATAAACTACATCGACACGCTTGCAAAGTCCGCGGACTATTGCAAAACCAAGGCCTTTATTTGCTCCGGTAACCACTGCAACTTTGGGACTCATTTGAAAGTTGTAACCTGCCGCCAAAATAAAGCAAAGAAATTTTATTCACTACTACTAAAGACTAAAGTTTACTAGTCACCACAAACTATATAGAAACCTGTGATAGAAACACTACGCGTTCTAGTCACAGAGTACTTTTTATATACTGAGTACTGACTAAAGACTAAAGCAAAGAGTATTGGACTAAAGTTTAATCTTGTCATCTTGTCATTGTCAATTATAAAGGGTCCGCCATCTAACTTTTTTTTTTCAACTAGTGCTTATTTCGTGAATGGCAACACTTAGCTCATGTCTAATTTGACAGATAATTAGTTTTATCCTTCCGCTGAACGAATATGGTTGTGTATACGCTTGAACAACGCTGGGAAATATTGCGACGTTACTTTGAAAATCATGGTAATGTTGCAGAATGTGTGCGAAAATTGCGTACGGATTTTGGAAGAAATGAAGCACCGTCAGCTCCGTATGTTCGTTACCTTGTGAAAAAAGTGAAAGAAACTGGCATCCTCATCGATAAACCAACGCGTGAAAAGCCAAAAACAGTGCGTACACCCGAGAATATTGCTGCTGTGGCCGAAAGTGTGCGTGAAACGCCATCAACATCAGTTCACCGTCGTTCTCAACAATTGGACATTTCGGAGACATCATTGAGACGAATTTTGCGTAAAGACCTTGGTATGACGCCGTACAAAATCCAATTGGTTCAGGAGTTGAAGCCAACTGACCATCCAATGCGTTTTCGCTTCGCTAAGTGGGCCTGCGATCGACTTGCAGAAGATACGGATTTTGCCAAAAAAAATCATCTTTTCAGATGAAGCTCATTTCGAACTTGGCGGGTATGTAAATAAGCAGAATTGTCGCATTTGGGGCACAGAAAACCCGCACGCATTCATCAAAAAGCCGGTACACCCAAAACGAGTCACTGTTTGGTGCGAATTTTGGTCCAGAGGCATAATTGGGCCATTTTTCTTCAAAAACGAGCAAGGTGTGGCCGTTACAGTCAATGGCGATCGTTATCGGGCCATGTTGAACGAATTTTTGTTCACAGAAATTGAAGAGGAGGATATTGGCAACATTTGGTTTCAACAAGACGGCGCAACGTGCCACACAGCCGACGCTACACTTGATGTTTTGCGCCCTGTTTTTGAAAATCCCATTATCAGCCGCAGAGCTGATGTCGTTTGGCCACCTCGGAGCTGCGATTTGACACCGTTGGACTATTATTTGTGGGGTGCTGTCAAAGATAAGTGTTACGCCGACAAGCCAGAGACAATTGACGCTTTAAAGGACAATATTCGTGAAGCCATTGGTGAAATACAGCTGCACACAATCGATAATGTACTCAAAAATTGGACCGATCGTGTAGGCTACTGCATGGCCAGCCGAGGCAGCCATTTGAATGAAATTATTTTCCATCATTAACCGGAAGGATTGTACTTTCAAATAAAAAAAGAAATTTGAAAAAATATTTAGTAGTTTTTTTTTAATAGCATTTAAAAAAAAACGTTATTTGGCGGCGCGGACCCATTACACACTTATCTATGGACAATGTTGTTGTTGTTGTTTTTATTATTCGCTCGAGAGAGCAGGCAAAGAAACTAAGCCATACAGCCTTGTCATTTTTATTTTGTATATCCATCATTCACATTGTGCAGCACTTGGGAGATTTTGACGGCAACTTGAGCCAGCAGACAGCTGACAGTTGGCGATAGTATCTCAAGGCGCCTAAGCAGACAGACACCTTATCTTGAGAATGACATTACCGTCAGCGCACTTGTTTCATCGTTTCCACTAATAGTTCACATTCGCAGATACTTAATACTCAAAATCACACCATTTTTACATATCAAAATCCAGTTCAAACCATTATTTAAACAATAATACAGGAGTTGCAAGCCACCGCCGGTCAAGTTCCCGCTAAAACTCCTGAGATAGAATAGTAAACCACAACCACAGGCTTACTAGTAGATTCTAACGAATAGTAAGCAATACACAAAGAGCAACCTCTACAAACCCCGTTTCACACTCTATTACACTCTACTACTACTTACAAATAACTGAATATCTCGTTTACTGCTTGGGCTACTTGTACTTTACTCTATGGCTATTTGACTACTAATATGTAGCGTAGAGTAGAAGGAGAACCATCTTATAAGGTGCGGAAGTTAAAAAAGTGACCCACTATATACTGAAAATAGAGGTTCCAAAACCTACCACAATAGCGCTGGCGTCTGAAAAACTACAATATACAATACAGCTGAATTCGAATATTTAAAAAATTTCATGACTATAGTTTTTATTTTATTTTTTTATTTTTTATTTATTTAGAAAACCAACAACTTTAAAAAAAAAGATTACATCCGATTGAATTAGCTTAACACAGGTACACCTTATTACAGGTTTTCCTATGTTCATCATCATTCATCATTACAGCCCTTCACAAGTCCACTGCTGAACATAGGCCTCCCCCAAAGAATGCCACAAAACACGGTCCTGAGCCACCTGCATCCATCGACTTCCTGCATGTCTTACCAGGTCGTCACTCCATCTCGTGGGGGGACGCCCTACACTTCGCCTACCAGTACGAGGCTGCCACTCGAGAACCTTTCTTCCCCATCGGTTGTCGGTTCTTCGAGCTATATGGCCGGCCCACTGCCACTTCAGCTTACTAATCCGTTGGGCTATGTCGGTCACTCTGGTTCTACTGCGGATATCCTCATTCCTAAGTTTATCACGCAGAGAAACTCCGAGCATAGCCCTCTCCATAGCTCGCTGAGCGACCTTGAGCTTCCTCATACGGCCAGTTTTCAGTTTTTCAGTTTTTCCTATGTTACCTATACATAATTAAAAAGAAAGAGCGACGCTTATCGGTGTGTGTGTGTGTGTGTGTGTGTGTGTGTGTGTGTGTGTGTGTGTACGAGAGAGAGAGAGAGAGAGAGAGAGAGAGAGAGAGTGATTATGTCTGTTCAATACCTTAATTATAAATAGCTATTAAAAAGTTTTTTGCATACTTCAGTTTTAAAGGTTTCTCTCTTTTTCGTAAAAATATCAATGTTTGCAAAAAATTGGTTATAAGTACAACACATCCGATTTATTGGTGGGTTTTTGCTATATTTTGTATGAAAGTGACAGTTGGAGAACAATTTGGTATGTCTTGTTCGATATATGGGCGTTGAGAAGTTAATAAGTCCCAGCAAATACGAATTATCAAGTCGGCCGTGAACTAGGTCATACAGAGTCATTTGATCAAGCATTTTTCTTCTATCTTCTAATGAGAGGAATTTATGATATACACATCTTTCTTTGTATGTCTGATGTCGTTCTTTAATTTTGTAGTCCATGAACTTTAAAAATTTATTTTGTAATACTTCTATTTTGTTAATATATGTATGATATTGTGGACACCATATGTTGCTACAATATTCTAAGATACCGCGAACATAGGCATAGTATAATAATTTAATACAAGGTAAGTTTGAGAAGGGTTGACATGTACGTATTACGAATCCTAAGTTTCTGTATGCTTTAATTGTGATATAATCAATATGATTACTAAATGTAAGCTTGGAATCTAATAAAATGCGAAGGTCTCGGACTACCTGTACTTTTTGAATTGTTGTTCCATTCAATCTGTAAGTTAATTCTACTGGTTTACTTTTGCGTGTGAATGTGCAAGTTTGACATTTTTTGACATTAACAGAGATACGATTATTTATGTAGTAATAGTCCAACCTCTTCAAATCTTCTTGAAGCTTATAACAATCCTCAAAATTTTTTATTTTAAAAAAATATCTTTTTATCATCTGTATACAGCATGAACGAGGAATGTTTAAAGCAAGTATATATATCATATAGATAAGCGTTATATAGGAGGGGCCCTAAGTGAGACCCTTGTGGTACGCCAGATGTGATTTTTATAAAGTTTGATTTGTGTCCTCCTACAACTACTGCCTGAGATCGATTTCTTAGGTAAGAATCAATCCATCTCAGAAGGTCCCCATGTATTCCAAGTATTTTTAACTTACGAAGCAAGATGACGTGATCCACGCGGTCGAAGGCTTTTTCGAAATCCGTGTAGATCATGTCAACCTGACCTCCGCCATCCATATGATGCATAGTTTCTGTGATAAAGTGTGTTAAGTTACTAATGGTTGATCTCCCTTTGAGGAAACCGTGCTGAAATTCTGGTAAGCCCCGACTTATGGTAGGGTAAATGTAATTAAAGACTAATTTTTCAAAGGTTTTCGCGAATATATTAAGTATAGATATAGATCTATAATTTTCGACTTTAACACGTGCTCCTCTTTTAAATATGGGTACTACATGAGCTTCTTTCCAGATGTACGGGAAATAACCTTCCTGAAGAGATCTATTGAATAAAATGTGAAGAGGCTCCGATAGTGACTTAGCGCATTTAGATATAAATATAGGTGGAATTTTATCACTGCCCGGTCCCTTTTTTAAGTCGACTTGCTGTAGCGCTTTAAAAACCTCTTCCTTAGAAACTCGAAAGCAATGTAGATGTTGGTCGTTGCTACTAGAAGGCATTGGTAATTCAAAATTGGGATACGAATTAGCAGGTGGGTTAAAAACACTTTTGAAGAATGAGTTGAAGGCTTCTACAATTGCGGGGCCGCTATACGTTATATTATTATACGAGATTCTATTTGGGTAAGAAGAAGTACTACCACGTTTTGATTTAATATAAGACCAAAAACATTTAGGGTTATTCAATATGGCTTGTTGAGTAGTCTCCAAATATTTGTAATAACACTGTTTACTATATACTGATGCACGCCTACGCAATAAAGAGAACATGTTGTAATCCGCTAAGTTATGAAATTTTTTCCAAATTTTGTGAGCTTTAGATTTTTCCTTTAATATATTAATCAATGTTTTATTATACCATGGGGGCTTTTTTGTATTGTGAGATAGAGATGGTACACTTGGTACATATTTGTCTATACAATAATTTAATTGTTTGTAAAAGAAATCTACAG